AATGAATCATGGAACACTTCATCTAAAACTAATGATGTAATGTATGGGGATTAACATAAGAATAAAAAAAAAAAAGAACATGCATTATTGATGTACCAAAGAAAAAATTTGCCAAACATGTTTTTTATTTTAAAGATTTTATTTATTTATTTGATAGAGAGATAGAGAGAGAGCACAAGTAGGCAGAGAGGCAGGCAGAGGGAGAGGGAGAAGCAGACTCTCCACTGAGCAGGGAGCCCGACGTGGGGCTCAATCCCAGGACCCTGGGATCATGACCTGAGTCGAAGGCAGGTGCTTAACCGACTGAGCCACCCAGGTGCCCTGAAACATGTTTTGTTTTACTTCAAGAAATCTCAGAATTTGGGTGATGCTCAGCACGGGCACCCGCTAATGGTTCCTGAGAGAGAGGAAAATATCAGTAATGTCCCTCTGAAATGTAAGACACCAGCATCTTTGTAGTACCTCTGTTCCCCAAATTAGTTGAGTATGGTAATTCAACGTCATGGCTTGTATAAAAGAGTATTTTTTGGTAATGTGTGTTGGAAAACTAATTCGATCAGTGAAATCTGAGAAGAGAATTTATTGGCTCCTATAACTGAAAAATCTGGACTTCAGGTACAGCTGGATCTAGAGTTTCAAGCATCAAGGTTTTCCTTCTATCTCACAGCTTTCAGCTCTGTTTTTGTTTTTGATTACTTCCTTCTTTAGTTGCCAGGTAGCCTTGATAAGTGTTAAGTTCATGTCATGGAGTCCATGTATAGTTTTCATTTCTGCCAACATCACCACATTGCTCATGAGCTTAATCAGCAAACACTGGGGAGACAGTGGGAAGACATGGCCTGTTGATCTTGTCCAATTTCTTAGTGGGGTCTTTTGATGAACATTCATGTGGCCCACGGATATTCTCACAATCTGGGTCCATTCAGATATTTACAAACCTTTCTGCGAACTTCACCTTTAATCCTCCAATCTCCAGATATCTGAATGTCTGTCCAAACCATTAGCAGAACTCAATGCATCTGTATAGATCTAATCTCAGGTCATTGCTATTGACAAGAAAACTGGACAAGAGATCTCAAGTTTCTACTCATAGGGGGGTTTCCCTTCTTCACTGTCTGTTAGGGGCACCCTTAAATGGGTGTGAACCATTTCAGCAACTTTTTTAGCTGGTGCCCGAAAATCATGCAGAGCCTTCTCTAAACCCAGTTCTAGATTTTTCCTCTGTAGTCAGTCATTCACAGGCCACTCTCCAGAATCCTAACTATGAACTGAAGAGGGCTGGCATTAGGTCAGAGGTAGGCATGCTGGAAGTATGAACCACTTGCTCATGCAACTTACGCCTTTAGAATGTGTTTGTGCTTTGAAACCTATAGAAAAACACTTCCACTTGATAATATGCTCCAGGGTGAACTCAATTTATGGTGAGGCAGATGAGATAACCCAGTCACAATGGTCATCTGGTTTCTCATGATTTGACGATTAGTCTCTGTCAGAGTTCAGCAGCAAGCTGTTTTTCTCAAGGGAAATAATGACTTGCAGAAAAGGGCATGACCTTCACCCAAACCCCTAGGGGCCGCCACATGACTCTTGCATTGGGATTTGCCATTGGCTCTATTCAGCATCCTTGTTTGCCTCATTTGATATTTTAAACACTTTGGATCTGATGAGTCATAAAGGCCAAGGAGCAGAGCTGCTTGAGCTATGGTTCATACGAGATAGAAAGCTCTCTACTGATTTGTGCCCCACTCAAAGTGAGCAGCTTTTAGGTCCAGTCAATGTGTCAGAGAAACACGTTAATGGGAATGTTGCCTCCCAATTCCAGAAATCTGTTGCTTTTTTTTTTTTTTTCTGTGAGAAGGGGTAACTTTACCTGCACTTTGAGGGTGCTATCTCAACCTGTCCCAAATCAGTGGACTCCCAGAAACTTTACTGAAGTTGCAGATCCTGATACCATCTTGTTTTCTTCATTCTTTTTATATACATTGTCTTACCAAGTGTAACATGCTTCTTTTTGTCATATGGAGGATCAGTGAGATATGAGATGGTGTTATTAAGGGATCCATTGACTAGGTTTTAGCACAGATCCAGGAAATTGGCCACTGAGGGAACATGAAGATAGGGATTTTGATGTCTGCATACTGAAGAATAGAAAAAAAGAATTTTCTTGATTAATAGCTATATATCAGATCCTAAGGACCATGTTGATTTACTTAAGCAAAGTGACTACTTCCAGAAGAGCAGGTACAATTAGAGATGGTACTTGATAATGTTTATAATAATCCACTGTTTATTTTGTAAGACCCATCTTCCTGCTACAATGATCAAAAGGTAAGGTAAATGGAAATGTGATAAGAATCATGACCCTTGCATCTTTTATCTTTGATGGTGGAACTAGTTTTTATATTAGCAGTTGGGAGTTCAAAGAGTTTTTAATTGTCCATTTCTATCACTCCACAGTTCAGGGAACTAATGTGCAGATTCTGCCCACTTCTGGGTCTACCTATTCCAACCATACACTCAACTTGGAATATAATCACATGACGGCTTTATGGTTACACTGGGCCTATGAGTAGTTGGGCTTCTCTGATAATATAATCCCTAACTATGAATGGTGTATTGCAGGATGGGTCTTTAGGAATTAGCACATAGCACATCAATTAAGATTCAAAGTAATGGATATTTCCCTTTTTGACAAGTTATCTTGTCAAATGGCATACTTCTCATATCTTCCATAGGAAAAGCTAGAAGGAGGATGGATGATACTTGCTTTTCCATGGTTGCAAGTCTTTTCCCCAAAGGTGCCTTTTTTTTTTTTTAAGATTTTATTTGTTTATTTGACAGAGAGAGAGGAGTGCACACAAGTAGGAGGAGCAGCAGAGGGAGAGAGAGCAGCAGGCTCTCTGCTGAGCAGGGAGCCCAATGCGGGGCTCGATTCCAGGACCCTGAGATCATGACCTGAGCTGAAGACAGATGCTTAACCAACTGAGCCACCCAGGCGCCCCAAAAGTGCCTTTCTTTTCCTCTGTGTCTATGAAATGATCACAAAATTGGATGAGGAGAGTGGCTTATTATAGTGGCTTGAATCAGCTTTTTGTTTGCCACACCATTAATATCTAGTGGATTTTTATTGTATTCAGCCGCAGTCAGGTCAGATGATAGTTTCCAGATTGCCCCCGTTTCCTTAATCATCTGTCACCTGTAAACATACCTGATAGAGATATCTGTGTCATTTACATTCTGTGATAGGCAGAACAGTGCCTCCAAAGATGTCCACATTTAATCCCTGGAACTTGTGAATGTTACATGGCAAAGAAAAATTAATGCAGATGGAATGAATGTTGCTAATCAGCTGACCTTAAAATAGGGAGAGCCTGGATTCTCCCTGTGGACCCAATATAATTACAAGGTTTCTTAGAAGTGGGAGAGGAAGGTAGAAGGGAGGGAGTATCAGAGGAAGATGGGACAAGGGAAGAATAGTCAGCTGCAATGTTACTGGCTTTAAAGATGGAAGAAAGAAGCCTCTAAAAGCTGAGAAAGGCAAGGCAATGGATTATTCTCTAGAGACTCCAGAAAGGAATGCAACCCTGCTGATACCCTGATTTTAGGGCTTTTGACTTCCAGAAGCATAATAGAATTTTGTGTTCTTTTTGTTTTTAAAGGTTTATTTTATTTATTATTTTAGAGAGAGAGAGAGAGCATGAGCAGGGGGAGGGGCAGAGGGAGAGAAAGAATCCTCAAGTAGACTCCCTGCTGAGTGGGGAGCCCAACACAGGTGATCCCAGGACCTGAGATCATGACCAGAGCCAAAATCAAGGGTTGGCTGCTCAACAGACTGAGCCACCCAGGCACCCCAGAATTGTGTGTTGTCTTAAGCCACAACGTTTGTGGTAACTTATTACAGCAGCAATAGAAAACTAAAGCAGATTCCTAGTTTTAAGCACAAGAAACTAAAGGACTATTTTAAGTAGTAGAAACTTACCAGAAGAGATTTATCAAGTAGCTCGCAGAATCTTCAGGAGGGCTGGAGGGCAAGCCCCAGAGGCTCCCTGTCAGAAGCCCTAACACAGTCTTCCTGCAGACATGCTTCGCTGACCTGGGGCAGCGCCCTGGGGGGTATTGTATCGTTGACAGCAACGCTGGACACCGAGCCTCAACCGCTGTTGCTAGAACTGCAGCCTCTCTGGAAATGGGATGTAGATGCTGCCATGTATCCTCCTCTCTAGAAATAGATTTGTGCAGTCTCCACTTCTTTAGGTCATTAACTTCTAATCAAAACCTGGAGTCTGTATGTCTGATTGCTCTGGCTTGGCTGTTATGTGGGCACCTTAGCTGCAAGGGAGGCTGGAAAAGTGAATATCTGGTACATCTGGCTTCTCTGATCTGCTGCCAAGGTGGTGGATTCCTCATATAAGAAGGTGATTCATATGCTGGTTACTAAAACGAATGAGTACCATCCACCAGAGCACCTACAATCCCAGAAGAGGAGAGATCGTCTCTGTCTCCCAGAGTCTGTCTCAATCTCTGAGAAGGATTTTGACTGGCCTGGCGTGGGTCTTTTGCTGTCTCCTGTAACCAATTATTCTTTAAGGTGAGTAGAGGTTCACTGATCTGCTGGTTTTGGTGGGGATCCTTGTGGAAAGGTGCAGATACCCAAAGGAAAAGTGGTTCTCTCATCCGAAGAAGGGGAAAAGGAAAAAAGCAATAGTATGGTGAAAAGAGCTTATGATTATAGCTAGGCCACCAGAGTTGAATCCCAGCTGTGCTGCTTGCTAGTTTGCGAAGTCATATTTACTCACACGTACCTGCAGTTTACCAGAGGAGTTAAGAGTCCTGACTCTGGTGTCAGGTTGCCTGCTCTGAGTCCAGGTCCTGTCACTTAATAGCTGTGTGATTCTGTGTTTCAATTTTCTCATTTGTAGAACAGGTATACGAATAGTACCTACTTCATAGAAGAGTTGTCATTAACACATGAGTTAATAACTGTAGTGAGCTTAGAATAGTACCTGGTACATAATAATAGCCGTCATTAAGTATTATTATTTTAATATAACTCAGACACACAAAGAAAGGGACTTAAAATTATTTTTATCTAGCTGATTTATCTAGCTTTCAAACTTTTATTTCTGCTACTGTGGTAGGGGTGTGGGTTGTGGGAGGGGAACTAAAAATTGCTAGTAAGAGGTAATTTAAATAGTGTCTTTTAGAAATAAATGCAATCAGTTTAAAATTGAAACTCCTTATGAAGCTGTCTCCTCTCTGTCATGGGGTCTCACTCACTCCCCTCCTCTTTCCTTCCCCAGTATGACTAGATGTAGGGACAAATTGTAGATTATCATGGTGGCAGGATAGCACTTAGGCTGTCACTTGGGTCTTCTCTGATGCTCAGTGGGTGTGGCTGGTCATATCTTGTGCGCGGGTGTCTTGAGTTGGTGATCACGAAAGTATGGCTGGAACTACCTGGTTTGGGGCATCAAACTGTTATATCTTCCCCTGAAGAATTTGGGTCCTGCCACAGCCTCTAGACATGAAGTCCCTGCTCACTGTGGCCATTCATCCTAACCTCCAGGCTGCTTGGCTTCAATTTTCCTGGAATACCCAGGATTTCCATCTTTTTGCTCTCTACATATTAGGGGTGAAATACTACCCTCACCATTCCTACACTATTAGCTCGGTGTCATGTGAAATGGGATGTAAAATGCTAATCTTCTTTAAGCAGTTTGCATTTTTAAAAAGTTATTCTCTTGAGAAATAAGGAATGAGTCCCTCCATACTTGGATTCCTCTAGTCCTATTTGAGTGTTTCTATTCCCACTTGCATCCCCGCCCGGGGTCTTGACCCTTAGAGGACAGCCAGGATGCCTGAGTCTGAACTCCTTCATTTTTTCTCTCACTATCTCCTCTCATCCTCAGCTCCCCCAGGGACTAAAAGGTTTTTTTTCCTCCTTCCTTTGAGTTGAGAGTTCTATCCTATCCTGAGTTCTTTCTCGCTTCATCTCTCTGCATTGTCTTTCAGGCTCTAGTTCTTAGTATTTCAAGGAAAGCCTTTGGAGTTGGCAAATTTCCATTCCTTCTTAACAAAACCTGGGGATCAAAATTAAAAATGGAACTAACAAATATAATTTGCCAGTTGAAACCGAACAATAACTTCTTCTTTAAACAAAGAAAACGTGTTAAAGGCTCTTGATCTTATTGGGTGGGGAGCCATGAGGTAGGTATACCAGTACAATATTTTCAAAAAAGTATCCCCGCTCCACCAGCTCTGGGTGGTTACTTGAAAATAAGCTATTCTTATTATTTAATGTAAATATACCTATTCAAATGAAACCAATAAGTAATGCTTAACTTTATGCATAAATGGTGGAGTTGCTTAGCAATATACTAGAGCCCTATACCATTCATTCATTCATCCATCCATCCATTCATTCATTCAACAAATATATATTAATAGCCCACTCTATACTAGGACTAAATGTTTCATAACTTCTTTTTTTAGAGTTTAGGCAAAATAGGTGTTACTGCTTTTAATAGTGAAATTTTCTACAAAGCACCACCCCCAGGTTCTTTAGTATCTAAGTTGGACATGGCTCCAAATGGATTAGGTATATACCAGATCTTCCCATTAACGAATAGTAATTTTCAACGTAGTGTCCCAGTTCAGTGAGGCTAAATCTCTTCCTCTGTCATGCATTCAGTATTAGCTAAGTATGGTACGAATGATCAAGTTGTTGCTGAGAGTGGTACTGCAGATATTTCTGTTTGACCAAACCCAGCCAGCGTGACCCACACATTCATGGATCTGTTGGTTTCTTTTTCCTTTTTGTCCAGCCATGGCCACAAGCTCTGACATTGGCCATGGCGGTGCTAAGTTGTACTGAATCCAAGAGGTGCCTCTTAGCTCACTGATTTGTGGAAGGGGAAGTCATTGGTAGGATTGGATTGGTGTCTGTCTGTTACTGAGGAGAAAAGGCATTATGCCAAGCAGCGCAGTTCTGACCACATCTTTCTGACCCTCTGTTTTCTATTTTTATGTAAATTATGATATGATTAGACTTTACATAGTGAGGTCATTGAGGAAGCAAGTGGTTATCCTATAGATCGTATGTAGATCATATTACCAATAGCTAGTTAATAAGATAGTATGTTAGGCTTATATAAACTTATATAACTTAATTTTAACCAGTTCTCAGTAATAGATAAAAATATAACCAATTTTCCAGAGAACATATGACTTTTTTTTGTATGTGTGAGGGAGATTTTAAGTGTTTTGCTGTATGTGAAATGGCAATTTTTCATGTGCAAAATCAGCTTTTAAAAAGATAACAGTAGATATGTCAAGATAAAACTGAAGATGCTTGCCCATGCAGGAAAATGTCATATGTAGCTAGATTGACTTGTAAGTGCAAAAGCTTCTTACAGCTTTTTTAATCCCCCCAAACATGTGTTTTTCCTGTGTGTTCAGAACACACACGTGGGTAGCTCACAGTTGTGACATGCCTACTAGGAGGACTATTTCTATGGAAAATGAACTCAAGTTACCTGTATTTCTGGAACTATTAAGTCAAATGCCTGAGAGATCCTTTGGAACCAAGATGACTGAGATACTTTCTAATTTTTGAGCTGAATCTATGCAGCATATATGTTCCTAGAAAGCTATTTTAAACTATATATTTGCAAATCTCATCATTTTCAGTGTAGTAAAGAATCTTATTATTTAGACGAACTCCCAGGCAACTATCCAGAGCAAAAATCATCTTGCATTCTGACTAATCATAATTTAGCTCTTTTGTAATTTTTTTCTTAAAAGCAGGGCATACCTACTTTATATTTAACATAGATTAAGGTATTTGAAGATGCTAGATTTTTATTTGTTAATGTACAAAGTGCACAGATCTTAACTATACATTTTGATAGTTTTGACAACGTATCTACCAATGTGACCAACATCCCAATAAAGATTTAGAACCATTCCACAACTTGTGAAATTGCTTTACATGCCTTTGCAGTCAGTCTCCTCCCTCTTTTCCTCTCCCCCCAAAATTGTTCTGATCTCTATTATCATAGTTTAGTCTATTCTTGAAACTTCTATAAATAGAATACCCTCTTGCATCTAGATTCTTTTCTCAACAAAATATTTTTGAAATTTGAGATTCATGTTGATATGGATATCAGTAGTTCATTCTTTTTTATGACTGTGCAGCTTTCCATTTTATGATTGTATCACAATTTGACCATTCTTTTATTGATGGCCATTTTAGTTTCCAGTTTTGGGTTACTATGAATAAAGCTGCAATGAACGTTCTTATAAAAAAAAGTCTTTTTTTTGCCTGGGGTAGAATTCTTGGGTCATAGAGTAAGGATATGTATCACTTATAAAGAACCAAAATTTTCTGGAATGGTTGCTGCATTTTTCTCTCCTACCAGTAATATGAGATTTCCAATTGTTTCATATCTGTGCCAATATTCATATTTTAAGTTTTTAAACTTTAGTTATTTGAGTGGTATATAGTCGTATCTTGTGGTTTTAATTTGAATTTCCCTGATGACTAATGATGTTGAGCATTTTTTAAAATTTTGATTATAAATTGTTTTATTTATTTTATTTTTATTAAAAAATTTTTTTATTATGTTATGTTAGTTGCCATACAGTACATCATTAGTTTTTGAGTAATGTTCCATGATTCATTGTGTATTACACCCAGTGCTCCATGCAATACATGCCTTCCTTAATACCCATCACCAGGCTAACCCATCCCCCCACCCTCCTCCCCTCTAGAACCCTCAGTTTGTTTCCCGGAGTCCATAGTCTCTCATGGTTCTTCTTCCCCTCTGATTTCCCCCCCTTCATTTGAGCATTCTTCACTTGCTTCTTGGTCATTTATGTGCCTTCTGTTTTCTTTCTTTCTTTCTTTCTTTTTTTTTAAAGATATTTATTTATTAGAGAGAGAGAGAGCGAGAGTGAGCACAAGCAGGAGGAGCAGCAGAGGGAGAAGCAGGCTCCCCGCTGAGCAGGGAGCCTGATGTGGGGCGCGACCCAGGACCCTGGGATCATGACCCAAGCTGAAGGCAGACGCTTAACCGAATGAGCCAACCAGGTGCCCTTTGTGTTTCTTTTTTTAAGTATATTTTCAGGTTTTGCCTATTTAAAAAATTGTATTGTATTCATTGTTGATTTATAGTAGTAGTTTATATATTCTGGATACCAGTCCTTTATCAGATATGTGTAACAAATATTTCTCAGTTTCTGGATTGTTTATTCATTTTCTTAATGTGTTGCTGATGAGCAGAAGTTTTTAATTTTGATGAAGTTCACTTGATTATTTTTCATTTGTGATTAGCACTTTTCTTTTTGTCTTGTCTACAAAATCTTTGCCTATCCCAAGGTCATAAAGATAGTCTCTGAAATTTTCTTCTAGGGGCTTCATAGTTTTAAGTGTTACGCTCAATCTCTAACTTTTTGTATGGCGTAAGATAGAAGTTCAGACTGTTCTTTCCCATATGGATATACATCTTTTTCAGCACCATATGTTGAAAAGACATTTTCCCCCCCCCCACTCAATTGCATTGATACCTTTGTCAACAATCAATTTTCCATCTAGAATGGATCTATTTTTAGACTCTATTTTATTCCACCAATCTAGTGAATATCTGTACACTAATATTAAACCATCTTGGTTATTGTGGCTTATAGTCAACCTTGAAATCAAGTAGTATAAGTACTTTAACTTTGTTACATGGACCTCGTAACCTGAAACCTTGTAAAATTGTCTATTTTTGTTTCTTTATAGCTTTCTTAGGACTTTCTATGTACAAAATCAAGTCATCAACAAATAAGGACAATTAAAAATTTTCTTTTCAATATTTATGTTCTTTTTAAAATTTTTTTTTTGCCTCATTGCACTGGCTAAGATTTCCAGTTCAAACTTAAATAGAAGAGCCATTCTAGGAGAAATTGCTTCTAATCTTAGGAGAAATATGTTAGTCTTTCACTGCTAAGTATAATGCTGGCTGTGTTTTTTTATAGATGTCCTGGGTAAGTAATAAGATGTATATTATTGTATAATCTGCCACCAAATCCTCTCACAGAGTCTTCAGTTGTCTTTATTTTCAACATTTTTACATAGTAGAGGAATTTTATGGCATTTTGATTTGAAAAGCTTGAGATTCGCTGCGCTGTGAGTTCCAGTCTGAGAGCCAGGAGAATAGTATTTTTGCTTGTTTAAAATTCCAAATGTATGACTTAAGGCAAGTCCTTTAAAATCTATCCCAACAAAAAACAAAGATAGTGATGTTTATCCTAACCTACAACTCATGGAATTTTATAATTGGATATGACCTTAGAGATTATCTGCTCCTACCTGGTAATTTTATGTGTAAGGAGACTGAGGCTTTGTAAAGCTCAACGATTTGCCTAAAGACATTCAGTTTGTTCATAGCCGACTGGAATTTGAACCCTGGATTCTTGTTACCAGTCTAATGTGATTTGTTTTTTAACTCAAATATGGTGAATTTAGAGAACATTTAGAAAAGACTGCAAGATTCCAAAATAATGAGTCTACACAAATTGTGACTAATATAATGTGCTAAGTGATATAAAACATTTTAAAAAATGCTGTTCCATGAATTTCAAAAAGCAGTGTTTATTTTTACAGCTGAGTTTAAGCTCAAGCAAATATGTTAGAAGAGCCCCATAAATTCTTGTCAAGTACCAAATAATCTGATTTAAAGAAAGTTTCACTTTCTTCTTTATTCTTGACTAAAACATCAATTTGTATAGCTTTCAAAGATTACAGATGTTTCATTTGATCCTCACAAACAGCACTATAAAAATAATTGCTAATATTAACTGTTTACTATGTGCCAGGAACTCTTCTAAGTGCTTTCTACCTATTAACTTCATCCTTGAAATAACCCTTATTACTATTATAGTCCTCACTTTATAGATGGGGAAGCCAAGGCACAGAGACAAAGTAACTTGTTCTGCTTTGAGGCTAAGCCAGGACTGGCCCTAGAATGGATGGATGCCTTAGCCACTTTGCTATAGACCTTCTTAGGTGAGCAGAGCAAAGGTACAGATTGTTCTTTATCTCTTTCCCATGGTTCGGTTTTGTTTTCCCAATGCTGCTATTTACACAGAACACTTTATCTAAGTCCCCCTTCCAAGGCCATATGATGCATTGTACAATTTGGCACTGGCCATGTTTAGGGCATTAGAGAGAATGTTTCTCAAGATACTAAAAAAGTATGATAATTTTTCTTACAATGAAATGAAATAAAATCCTTAGTTCTTTTTTTTTTACTTTGTTATATTTGAGCCTTCAATTACAGCAATTAAACCCTTAGACAATATATCCTGTTTTCTGCTTCAACTCTTATTACAAATAGGTCTTTCCTCTGTTACACTATTCAGTTGGCAAAATTTATTTCAGAAAAAATTGTAATTTCATATAATTATTTTTCTATATTCTAAAAAAAGAAAATCAACAGAATGAGAGGACAAATAATCACAGACTGGGAGAAAATATTTGTAAAAGACATGTTTGATAAAGAACTGTTATCCAAAATATACAAGGAACGCTTAAAGCTGAACAATAAGAAAACAACCCATAAAAAATAAGCCAAAGGTGATATACAGATGGCCAGTAAGCATATGAAAAGATGCTCCATGTCACATGTCATCAGGGAAGTACAAATTAAGGTGGCAGTGAGGTACCTGTACACATCTATTAGAATGGCCAGAATCTAGAACATTGACAATACCCAGTGCTAAGGGGGCTGTGCAGCAACAGGAATTCTCCTTCATTGCTGGTACAACCACTTTGGAAGACAATTTGGACAGTGTCTTACAAATCTAAGCATACTCTTACTATATGTTCCACCAGTCACATTCCTTGGTATTTACTCAAAGGGGATGAAAACATGTCCACACCTGCACATGGATGGTGGTAGCATGTAAAACTTGGAAGCAACCAAGATGTCCTTCAATAGTAAATGGATAGGTAAACTGTGGTACATCCAGACAATGGAATATTATTCAGCATGAAAGAGAAATGAGCTATCAGTCCACAAAAAGATATGGAGGAAACCTAAATGCATATTACTAAGGGAAAGACGACAATCTGAAAAGGCCACATACTGTATGAGTCCACCTTATGACATTCTGGAAAAGACAAAACTATGGAGACAGTAAAAAAGATCAATGATTCCTAGGGGAAGTGATAAATAGGTGAGGCACAGAGGGTTTTTAGGGCAGTGAAAATATTCTATATGATACTGTAATGATGGATACATGTCATTATACATTCGTCCAAATACAGAATGTACAGCAACACGAGTGAACCATAATGTAAACTATGGACTTGAGTGGTTATGGTATGTCAAGATAGGTTCACTAATTGTAACAAATGGACCTTTCTGGGGATGTCGATAATGGGACAGGCTGTGCGTGTGTGGGGTCAGGGAGTATATGGGAAATCTCTATACTCCCTCTTGATTTTGCTGAGCATCTAAAATTGATCTAGAAAAATAAAAGCCTTTTTTAAAAGATTTTATTTATATATTTAATAGAGAGAACTTGAGAGAGCACAAGCAGGGGGAGTGGCAGAGGGAGAGGACGAAGTAGGCTCCCTGTGGACCAAGGAGCCCATGGGGGTTCAAATCTCCATCCCAGGACCTGGGATCATGACCTGAGCATTTAGCATTAAGCAGATGCTTAACCAACTGAGCCACCCAGGTACCCTGCAAAATAAAGTCTTTAAAAGAAAAAGAAGGGGCACTGGGGTGGCTCGGTTGGTTGAGTGTCTGACTCTTGATTTTGGCTCAGGTCACCATCTCAGGGTCATGGGATTGAGGCCTGAGGTGGGTGCCATGCTCAGCAGGGAGTCTGCTTCTCTTCCTCTCTCTCTGCCCCTCCCCCCACCTCTCTCAAATAAATAAATAAATCTTAAAAAGAAAAAGAAGGTAGAAGAACAGAAATGAATGGAGCTAAGTGACCTATAGGATATAATAGACGTGGAAAGAAACAAATTTAGGAGGATGGGACTGCGTGAGAGACACGGACTTATAAGTGGAGATAGTGAGTGCAGTTTTACATTTTATAATGTTTATTTATGGAGCACTTACCATGAACCAGGTACTATGTGAATATTTTATAAATTAATTCTCACAACCTATTGAAGTAGATGCCATATTGTTCCCATCCAATAGACGTGGGAACAGAAGCTTCAGAAGCAACTGAAGTCTCATTACAAGCAATAAACAGAGCTGGGACCCGAATCCAGGTGGATCTGGCTCTAAGGGATGTGCTTCTAATCACCCTGCTATACGTCTTGTGAGATGCTTATGGGACTACCTTGTAGATATATCCACTAGACAGTTTAAAATAGAAGCCTGAAATCCAGGATTAACAATGAATGCATAGGTAACTGTAGAATGGAAGTGGCCATTGAGGTGGAAATTAACTGAAGACGGAGGAGATGATTTGCCACTTTCCATGAGTTTAGGTGAGAAATAACTTCATGATAGAGAAGGCAAGGAAACGCTGAGCATGTTATTGGTGTACAGGCCTAGGAACACTTTAATCATCTGTTATGGGTGAGTTTATTACGGTCAGGTCTAAAGTCAGGGGATTGATGAGATTGATTGGATTCACAATTTAGGCCTTTTAGGAAAATCAACATTAAGCAAATTGTCAGCATCAACCACTGGTTAAGATTTATGACATGAAAGAATTTCAGAATACCCTTAATAAGCTACTCCCCTGAAGAAAGCCAACTTTGAAAAGACTTATCTTACTTTCTAATCAGGTATTTATGACAACTGTCACAGCAGAAGAAATGGCTTTATTTAGGAAGATTTCATCATACCCAATAAACTCAGACTGTCCCTACAAATTTATCCATCTCCAATCAGATGACCCACTCAAAGGCAAATAAAACAGATGGGATTGTTTTTCTTTTTTATTTACGGTTGTCCATGCATTGAAGATTGAACCTGTAGTGATCCTCCAAGCCATCTTCTCTCCTTTGAGGATAATGCTGTGGCCAAATACTGTGGATCCTGGACTTTGAAATGGACAAGCACTCACTATGCGCCCACACTGTGTAGAAGATACAACATCATGGTCCTGTCCTATTGAAAGCTCAGTCTATATCCAGCTGAGATCAGGGCTCTGTAACCTGGATTTTAAGATGGATTAAAAATGAAGTGTGAAAATAATGTGTCTCTTATGTGGTTATGTTCTGCTACTTTAAAATTATTTAGTCTTGAAGCACCACATGGTTTTTCATCCTCCTACCCCCCATTAAACTGACCTAAAGATAGTTTTCATTTTTCTATACTGTTGGCTTCTTATACAGGGATTCAAGATATTCATCAAAAGCAGTATCCAAATCACATTTTTTCATCTAATTTTTGCTCTCAAGAAAATGTTTATATCCAAAAGCATGTGAATTTTCTGTTTCTAAGAAACAATCTGAAAGGAAGACTTTGGCCTTCTTTGTTTCCACTTTTCTTCTTGGGAAGAGCTGCCTCAGATCAGGGATTTCTAGATTTCATCGTAGTTGTGTCAGGGACAGGCATTGTGACAATGGGCAAAGTATTCAGATACACTGATCCTCATTTTCCTCATCTGTGAAATGAGGATAACACCCTAATGCTTTAGAATGTGAAGAATGCAATGAGATTTATCTTCCATATCTAGCAAGTTTCTTGGTCTAAAGTAGGCATCTGATACAGACTTGTGTCTGTCTTGTCCTCTCTTCCTCCTTATCTTTCTAACTTATACTTCTTTCTTTTCCTCCTGCTGGAAGGGAGAGGACTGAGGGCAATAATTTTGTGTCTAGATAGGTCTTCAGTAGTGCATTGGAAAGATTTTCCTTTGATTCTGCCTCTTACACATTTTCTGTGCTCTCCATTGCAGCCTGCCCTGGCTAAGCGTCCTGGTTTGAGGTTGTACTCTACTTTGCTACCCTGCCATTTGATATTTTTCTCAAACCCTCTTTTCTCTTGCTTCCCCCATTTCCCTGTTTTTTTAGAGCAGGCTCAAGGATTGCTACATCTAAGAAAGGAAAAACAACATATAAAGACATCCAAAAGGGTGGGATAAAACTGCCCTTGAAACCCTCTACTGCAATTATGTGTGTGTCTAGAAACCGGGAAGTACACAGGTGTATCGCACAATATTTGCCTGGTAAAGTAGTTGTATAGAATGGAAGTCTTCAACCTGCTTTGTACTGGGGTATACATCTGAATGACATTCTCCTGTTCAACATACTTCTTTGGAGGCAGAGATAAGACGCGTTGTGGGTTATGGACAACTAGAGCCTCTAGCTGTATCCGTAACTTCTTCCTCCGCCTCTCTCCTACACAAGAAATGCAAGTGAATATGGGTGAGATGATTATGGGCACAGCCTTTAATCTATCCTTGTGTATAAGAAAAGTGAATCATTTTTACTACTTAGTGCTTTCTATTAGTAACAGTTTACTGCCCCTGGGCACCTGGGTGGCTCATTCCGTTAAACGTCTGACTCTTGATTTTAGCTCAGGTCTTGATCTCAGGGTTGGGACTTCAAGCCCTGCATTGGGCTCCACGCCGGGCATGGGGCCTACTTTAAAAAAAAATTAAAAATTAAAATAAAAAAAAGTAACAGTTTGCTCAGTCTTCACAACTGCTTGTCCCCTGGGTCTCAAAAATTATAGTTGGCTGGAAATTGCTGCTTTCGAAAGATCTGTTAATCCTCTATAAAGGAAGGTGGTTGGGTTTGGTGATTCTGAAGGTTACTTTGAGTTTTTAACATCCTAATTCCTCACATTGTGCCACAAGGTCCCAGATCATATTGGTAATGGATGGCCAGGTTGCTTCTGTGATGTAATGCATTTCTGCTGTTTTAAACCAGTTTGTGGTAATTTGTTATGGCAGCTCTAGGGAACTCATATGCCTGGGAAACCTCGGCTTTAGTTAATCCTGACCTATGTTTCAAGTTTTGCGTTCAGCTGTCCCTGTCATGTGCTCCGTGACAGGACATGTCTCTTCGGCAGGCACGTGCATTGAGAACCTGGACTGTGGGGCTTCTTTTCCTGCTTTCTTCCCAGGGAAACCCTGCAGTCTTTCTGGCCTTTCTAAGGCGCTTGCTTTTTGGTTTACCTGGCAGTTGATTCCTATGGATTCTCTTGACCAGTTCCTACTGTGGTCCTTCCGTGGGAGTGACTTCAAGCCTAGACTGGAACTGAGAAGAGATTTTAGAAAAACAATTCTTGACCTCTTTTCGCTGCTGTGATTTTAATTGATAATTTTCATGTCAGGGTGATCACCAGGACATTTTTTTTTTAAAGACATTATCCAATAATTTCACAAGAGTGTCATTTTATGTTGATGGGGTAATTTGTCCCCTTAGAAAGAGTTATTTCTTGAGTAATTATTTTGGGTACTAAGTGACAGGCTCAGACTATTTTAGGTCTCCGTGGCCTTGTCTCATGACATGCATTTACCTTGAGGATAATGCATGTGGCAGGTATTGCCTGTGACTCATTGCTCTTTCAAGAGCTCACTGCACAGTTCACGTCTTCAGCAGACAACAGCATATGACAAGGATGGCTGGGAAGATTTGCTGCCAATGTGCTTCTTATGTAAGATTGGCCTAAAAGATTGTCCTTGTTCCTTACTAAGCATCTTTTCACTCTGAGTAGACTTTTTGGTGACAGCCCAAGATATTCAGTAGATATGAGAAAATATGGGATAGCCAAATATTACATTTTATAGTTTTATGTAAGTCTTCTAATTTGAAGCTGTCTCACTTAAACTAATATGGGTTTCCATAAAGTTATGTTTATTTATGTTTCCTAAAATGCAGACTTATTAAGCCATATGTTAATTTGTACTAAAAGGCATAAAGAGACATGGGCTGTTTAAATTAATTTGAAAATATTTAGGAAAAAAAAACCCTTCCAGGGGTGCCTGGGTGGCTCAGTCGTTAGGCATCTGCCTTCGGCTCAGGTCATGATCCCACGTTCCTGGGATCGAGCCCCGCATCGGGCTCCCTGCTCAGCGGGAAGCCTGCTTCTCCCTCTCCCACTCCCCCTGCTTGTGTTCCTTCTCTTGCTGTGTCTCTCTCTGTCAAATAAATAAATAAAATCTTAAAAAAAAAACAAAAACCCTTCCAAAGTTTATAAAATGCAATGTATTTTCAGGGTGAAAACTTGTATTAAAATAACATTGAAATCTTTCAACTTCCATCTTGCCCCCAATTTTCCTTAATGTGACCAACATTAAGGGTCTGTTGTATGTCCCATCTTATCTTTTCATGGTTGGGGTTGTAGTTAGTTTTTACACAGATACTCTGTTTCAAACCGATAGCTAAAATCTGAGTGCCAAAGTTTTCCAATGACTGAGAGAAAAAATGCTATCTCAATAATACTGCCTTTTGAATATCCAAAACTCTATGAAGACAAGGGTGAAATGTCCATTGCCTACCGTTGTCCAACAAGGGTGTGAATGTTCAGATTTACAAGATAATTCTTATTATCTCAATTTTATATATGAAGAAATTGAGATTCAGATAGGTTCAATTACCTGCTCCCAAATATATAAAACAGCAACAAAACAGGAAGATTGTTCCATTGGTTTCATATCAAGAGTTTGAGAATCTGCACTCACAAAAATATTTGGACAAAATCATAGAGTGTAATGCAATCTCACTACTTAATGGATTTTATTTAATTTTGCCTATATACAATTTAATTACTAGCCATTAGCTATAAACTTTTTAGCTCCTTAATGGTTTTTAAAATATGAAGAAAACCTCAAGCCAAAGACCCTAAAGCAAAACACATAATTTTTTTTCCTGTTGATGACATTTTTGCAGGTTTTTCCTGCTATCTGAGTGTGATAAAAGGCTTGGGTTTATAACTTAACCTAAGCCTTACCTGGGTCTTGCCCAGCAGAAATATGTGTTTCACTAAATTAACAACAGATCCCAAAGCACAAAGAAAAATCAAGCGAATCCCCAGAGTCAGTATTTTGTCCCTGTAACCGCAGGTGTATGAGGACCACAGAAATCAACTTAACATAATTTCCCATTTTTCTCTGTTCAACTTTTGAGATGGTAACTGTTGGTTTCAATTTGTCTGGGGATTTCATCTTACAGAGCTGTCAAGAATTCTAGTAGCTACAAGGAGAGAACCCTGAAGATAAAGTTCATTGATTCATGACTACATTCATATAAAATAGGAATGGAATGTTGAATGGCAAGAAACGTAAGTATTTTTTTACATTCCAAAAGTTAGAATTTCTGTATAATGAAAAAAATAACACCAAATATTTGTATGGTACTTTTCAGTTCATAATATGCTTTCATTTAATTCTTATAATAATCCTATAAGGTAGAATATGTCGTGAACTGGACTGAATGATTTTCTTAACCAGCTTCGGCCCATTGAACTGTCCCTTCAATTTTTTTTTTAAATTTTATGTTATTATGTTAATCACCATACTTACATCATTAGTTTTTGATGTAGTGTTCCATGATTCATTGTTTGCATATAACACCCAGTGCTCCATGTAATACGTGCCCTCTTTAATACCTATCACCAGGCTAACCCATCCCCCTCACCCCCTCCCCTCTAGAACCCTCAGTTTGTTTCTCAGAGTCCATAGTCTCTCATGGTTCATCTCCCCCTCCAATTTAGAGGGTATTATGCTAAGTGAAATAAGTCAATCAGAGAAGGACAAGTATCATATGATCTCACTGATATGAGGAATTTGAGAAACAAGACAGAGGATCATAGGGGAAGGGAGGAAAAAATGAAATAAGATGAGACCAGAGAGGGAGACAAACCGTAAGAGACTCTTAATCTCAGGAAACAAACTGAGGGTTGCTGGAGTGGTGGGGGGTGGGAGGGCTGGGGTGGCTGGATGATAGACATTGGGGGGATATGTGCTATGGTGAGCGCTGTGAATTGTGTAAGACTGATGAATCACAGACCTGTACCTCTGGAACAAATAATACTTTATATGTTAAAAAAAAAGAAGAAGATAGTATTGATAACTTTCTTGTTGCCAAATCTAGTGGATTTTTCTATTTATCATCCAAAGCTCTTTGCAGTTTTGGATTTTTTGGATCAACTCCATCTTTTCCCCATTTGGTCTTTCTTTTGAGCGTTCCTTACCATAGTTTCTACAGCAATAGAGTAGTTTTACTCCCACTACTATGTCCATTCTCTCTTGGATGTCTTTGCCAGTGCCTCCTTCCTTTCTTCTGGAAAACGTGTACATTCCCTATGATTGTGCCTATGATTCTTTTCTTTCTTTCTGGCTCTCCTCTCTCAGGGCCTCAGGAGTCTGCCCCCAACCCACTCCCCAGCAGTAGTTTTACCTGTTTCTGTTCATCCCCCTCTTCTACTTTCTAATATAGCCATCCATGTTCCTCCCTGGCCCCTTCCCTCCTGGCTGATGACTGTGCCCCTCCTGTATTGAGAAAGCAGGCTGTAGGGTGTGAGTGCCTTGGCTTTTTGTCCACAAGTTGACCTCTAAATGCACTCACTGTGACCTCCTCTCCTCCAGTTTATGAGGGAAAAGTGTGACTTTTTCTGTTCAAGACCAATCCTTGTTCATGATCCTGTTCCATTCTGTCTTTCCTGGAAATAGAAACTTACTGTTGATTATTTCCTCCCTATATGATCCTTTCAACTTATCCCTCTTCATTGTTTGGAGCCTATACACATCCTCAGGTCTCTCCAATCCTTAAGAATGCCTGTCTCTACTTGGCGTTCTCTCTAGCTACCATCCTATCTTGCTCTTTCTCTGTAAGACCAAGCTTCAGTAAGGAAGAGGCTGTAGATACTCTATTTCTTCTCCTTTAACTCTTCAAATCAGGTTCTAATGTCAGCCTTCTGCTCCTACTGAGGTTTCCAGGGACATTTAATTGCCTCCCATCACCAGTGTTACTTAATTTCTCAGGAGCAATTGACACTGCCCACTTCACCCCCTTTCTTGAGACTTTGCTCCCTTGGTCTCCATTAAGCCACTCTCTTGGGTTTCCTGATCATTCTTTCTTTGTTTCCTTTGGGCTCTCCTCCTTTCTCATTCCTCAAGTTGTTTTTCTTCCCTTCCTTCGCCACTCCCTCAATCCCCCTCTATTTCCTCCTCCTCCTCCTTTTTCCTCTTTCCGCATTGATTCTCTCCTTTTGTCTACAAGTTTAAAACCATTTGTACAGCACAGGATAAACGGCAGATATTGTCCACAAGCCAGACACCTCCTACAGGATTGTCCACATTGCTGCCCTTACTGTCTTCTTTCTGGCCCATTCAGCAACATGTATTAAAAAGCAGGTGAGTGGGACTGGTTATTATAGAGATAGCTTTGAATTGGTTTAAGTTTCTGAAAAAAGTAAATAACTTGCAAACTTCAGTACTTCAACCTTTATTAGTGACAGATTACTGGAGACACACCTCACGATTGATTGGAACCCAGTAATGTTATCATGGTAACATAATTGGGTAAAGGCTGATAGGTCAGGTGTTTAAATGATTGTTGAATTGATTTGAATTTAATGTTTGTAAGTGTGGAGTTACTTCCTGGAAAATTCAGAACCAAAAAAAGGTTTTTATTTTAATCTTCCAAAAGACTTGTTAATTTACATATTTATCTTACAAACTGGTAAAGGCCTTATTCTGTAAACATACTGGAATTGGAGGGCCCCTCTTCTTAGATTCTTGAAATTGAGCAATGAGACAAATCATTTGTCAGGTCTTAATGGTTTTAAGTACCCAAGAATCCTGTATTATGATGAACAGCCTCTAAAGGAACTATGATATTAACATTCAGGTATTAAAGAGAACTTTCAAGGATAGGGTCCCTGGAAAAGTAAGTGTCTGGGGGCTGGAAATGATGAACTGAATGGAATACCACACATTAACTTGAATTGCTCTGTCAAGTTACAATATCTTGAAACTTGGAAGGAATAGATGAGAGATTGATGTGACTCAGGGCAGCTTAGGTCTTGAAATATTACACATCTTCTCATAGTGGCTTTTAGGATAACTTTAAATTTTATGACCTTAGTGAGTATAAAATTTGAATGGAAAGATAATGTTTTCCAGAGACTTATAGCAAGCACATTTCCTCCTTTATTTTTATAATCATTTGAAGTAAATACTTCAGTCATGATCAACTATTAAATCTGCTTTTCCTTTAATATTTAAGGCTTTGAAGGCCAAAATTTAACCTAGAATTTACATTGACCCAGCTCATATTTTCTAATACTACCTTTTTTCCACTCTAGCTGTCCCTATCCACTCCTATTTTTAGCCTACTTCAGTAACTGTATACAACAACCCTCCTACAGCAAACACACCAATTTTCTTCAGCAACATTAGGTTAGAAGCTTTTTCAAAGGCAGGAACCAGGTCTTATTTTCTATTCCTCAAGGGCTTTGTACACAATTTATGTGTAATAAATAATATTTAGAGGTTTTTGTTCCATCAGCAAGTAAAACATTTATAGGAAATATAGATTTTTAAAAAAAGTAGTTCATTATCCTATTAACCAGAGATACTTACTATCAATAGTGTAGCATAAATCAGAGGTTGGCAAACTTTTTTTGTAAACAGACCAATAGTAAAGATTTGAGGCTTTTCCAGCCTTATGGTCTCTGTTGTGACCACTGAATTCTGCTGTTGGGGTGTGAAAGCAGTCATAGTCAAAGGAGACAAGACACTCTATAAACAATGTGTGTGGCTGTGTGCCAATAAAACTTTATTTACAAAAACAGGCAGTTTGGATTTGGCCTCCAGGCTATAGTTTGCTGACCCCTGTATAAAGCTATCCTTTAAGCCCACATATATGTAATACGTATAATAATATATGTGTATAATAATATACACATGTAACATATAATTTATATGTTATAATTTATAATGGTTTTTAAAAATGACATCACAAAGAGATTGCTAGATATCCTTTCAGGAATATTGAAGCCTCTGGGGATTGTCTGTCCCATAGCGCATAGATTGTCAATCACCCAAAGGAGGCAAAAATTGGTCCTTTATGGATGGAAAAAGAATTCTTAGTTATTGGAATGGTTTGTGACTTTCCAAAATTCAGCTTTACTAAACAAAATTTTGTTCTTTAGTATTTAATTTGGTGGTGGGGAGAGGCTGAGGTAAAAATATACAAAAAGTCTGCTTTGGAAAGTAATAGTGAAAAGGGGACTGAGAAACACTATTGTAGGGATATGAACCTTTGTCTTTGATTAGGCTCGTTTTCAACTCTATAGTTTGTAAATAACTGAAAAATTAGTTATGCAAATAATTCTTGTCTATGGACTTGGAAATGATATCTGCACAGTGGAAAGATACCCCTGCCTCAGACACCCATCACCACAAAAAAGCCAGTTTTGTGTCCATTTGTAAATTTATTTCAACATTCATTTCTCCCATGTAAATTTGTGGTGCTTTAATTTCTTCTTTGAATTGGTTGAGACATTTGCCTCCTTCCCTCATTTAATAATTGATAATAAAATAAATAAAAATCTTTGAGAAGTGTTTTTTTTAATATCAGTCATGATCTTACCTCTGCAAAAAAGATATAATTTATAGTTTTCATTGGTTTGTACAGTCCTTGACATGATATTAAAAATATTTTTATATCATTATATATTTTAAAGGTCATCAGTGTTCTAAGAAATGAGTATATCATTTTTTAAAAAATGTACATCTTATTGTTGGGAAACAATTTTTTTTAAATTTTATTTTATTATGTTATGTTAGTCACCATACATTACATCATTAGTTTCTGATGTAGTGTTCCATGATTCATTGTTTTCGTATAACACCCAGTGCTCCATGCAGAATGTGCCCTCCTTAATACCCATCACCGGGCTAACCCATCCTCCCACCCCCCTCCCCTCTAGAACCCTCAGTTTGTTTCTCAGAGTCTGTAGTCTTCTCATGGTTCATCATTTGGGAAACAATTTTTTATGAATAAGCATTGATTTCTTTCTTAAAAACATGCTGAATGTTGAAAGTCATTAAGTGTGTCAAAAGTCCGTTACTGAATTTTTTGGGCACAGTGCTTGTTTGCTTTTAGCTCCCCGCTGACTTTTTCGAGGACATAGGCCACTGGACGTGAAGGCCAGGGCTATTTTCATGGCTCTGTTGACAGAAGGTTGCATGGGTTGCCACTGTGAATCTATGATCATTTTGGGGAGAGCGCTGGGCCCTCGCCTCATGAGAGGGACACACTGAGCATACTTTGACACTTGCCTTGGCTCAGTGTGCCTGGTCAAGATTCTGGTTTGGCTTGCGATTTATTTCAGGAGCATGGAAAGTCTACTGTTTGTCTGAGCTTTACATTTATATTGCCAACTCCTCCTGCCCTTCTCTTTACCCTCTTGGTGCATTAACTCTAACTTCCTGCCTCTACATGAGTATTTTATATTCTTTAAAACTGCAAAATGGAAGCCAGAATTTTAGAAATGAATTTTCCCAGCTTATCCATCCTGAAAATTGTGTTTAACTCTTTTGTTAAGCCTTCCATCCCTTTGTTACTTCCTCTTGTCCTCTCCCTCAGCTTCTCTCTTTGCAGTTGGTAAGTGAATGACTCTGGGTGACAAGTACCAATTCTCAGAATAATGTTTTTCACTTTCGTTCAGGAAACCAAATAAATGTTTCATGCACAAAGGGGAAGACAGAAGATAAAGTGAATTTTTCAAAGTGGATACTAGTTTCAGGATCAGAGTAATGAGATGGAAGTCACCTCACCTAATATCCTATAAAGCAAGCCCACTGTTATAAATCTATGTGTACCCAATTTATCAATATTTTTCTTGTTCTGTTACAAAAAAATATAAAAAGCAACACTTGCAAGATCAGCCAGCATTTTATAAAGTAATGCTAAATTAAATCCAGTGGCAAGACGATGATCTAGATCTCTGATTTTTAAACCAAAGAGCATTCTCAATTTGAGCTTTCGGTAAAATCTATTTAACAATTGGGGAAGCAATCTGTGGTAAGTGTCTGCAATTCTTAAGTAATCTCTCTGCCTACAGCAGTGTCTAAATTAAGTAATTGCTTTTTAAAAAAATATGATAATGGGTTTTATCTTTATTACATACATGCATTTGAAAATTAATAACAAAATGGCAATACCAGTGTTAAAAATGAGCAAAGAAACCCTAAGGTGAAAATGCAACCCTAAAGTCAATATTACAAGCATAACCAACCTCACTAACAAAATAATTGCCATTAAAAGTGTGTGTGTGTATTTTAACATCTTAACCATTTTTAGGTGACAGCTCAGTGACATAAAATACCTTCACATTGTTGTGCAACCATCACCACCTTCCATCTCCCAGAGCCCTTTTCATCTTCTCTCCATCCCCCAGCAATAAATGACTTTCTGTCTCCAGGAATTTGACTCCTCTAAATACCTCATCTAAGTGAACTCATACAGTATTTGTGTTTCTGTGACTGGCTTATTTCACTTAGCATAATGTCCTCAATGTCCATCCATGAAGTAGCATGAGTCAGAATTTCCCTCCTTTTTAAAGCAGAATAATATTCCATTGTATGTACTTTGCTTAACCATTCATCTGTTGATGGGTACCTGAGTAGCTTCCACTTCTTGGCTCTTTTGAATAATACTGCCATGAACCTGGGTCTACAAATACCTATTCAAGTTCCTGATTTTAATTATTTTGGGTAAGCTGCAAGTGGAATTGCTGGATCATATAGTAATTCTATTTTTAATTTTTTGAGGAACCGCTACACTGTTTTCTGTAGTGACCATGCCATTTTACATTTCCGCTGAAAGCACACGTGGATTCCAGTTTCTCTACATCCTTGTCAATACTTGTTATTTTCCATGTTTTTTTTAAAAAAGATTTTATTTATTTATTTGACAGAGAGAGACACAGCGAGAGAGGGAACACAAGCAGGGGGAGTGGGAGAGGGAGAAGCAGGCTCTCCACTGATCAGGGAGCCTGATGCGGAGCTCGATGCCAGGACCCTGGGATCATGATCTGAGCTGAAGGCAGACGCCTAATGACTGAGCCACCCAGGTGCCCCTATTTTCCATGTTTTTGATAGTATCTATCCAAAGCATTTCCCTAATGATTAATGATGTTGAACATCTTTCCATGTGCTTATTGGCCATTTGTATCTTTTTTGGAGGAATGTCTATTCAGTCCTTTGCCCCTTTTAAAATGAAGTTTAATGAACAATGGCCATAGGAATTTTTTTTTCATACCATATCCAGATAAATCTTTGGGATGGTTTAGAGAATTATCCAGCTAAGGATTGGGAGAACTTTCTTGAAAATATAAAAATAATGCATGCTTTTTGTCTGAAGATAAGACTCATTTATTTCCGGGGGCACCTGGGTGGCTCGGTTGTTAAGCATCTGCCTTCGGCTCAGGTCATGATCCTGGGGTCCTGGGATCAAGCCCCACGTCAGGCTCCCTGCTCAGCGGGAAACCTGCTTTTCCCTCTCCCACTCCCCCTGCTTGTGTTCCCTCTCTCGCTGTGTCTCTCTCTGTCAAATAAATAAACAAAATCTTAAAAAAAAAAAAGACTCATTTATTTCCAGTAAGGTCACCCATCTACAAAATTCCTCTGGCATCAACCAAAAGAAGATCAGCCACTTAAAAATATATAGGCTAATTTATAACTAACGTTTGTGACTATGAATGGGTGATAGTTGACTAAAATAATTCTGTAACACATCAGGTAAGTATTACCAGGGGTCAAATGAAGGGCAAGTTCTTGGTTGGTAAAGAGATGAGACCTCCTTTGCAGTTTAGATTTCAGCCAAGGGTCAATGGTTTGTTAGTGTACCACTGAAGAATGCTAAAAGTGCTAGCTTGTCCTTAAGTCATGGGAAAAAAAGTTGAGGAATGGGTACTAGAAATCTGAGCAGCCTTCAAGGTGACCCTACAGGCCAGATAGCTTTGCAGGATCTTAAAACCTCTCCATCAAAGTCTGTATATTCTGGTGTCACCTTGCTTACCCCACCTAATTTCTCATTCTCTTTCCAAATTATTCTCCTCAACCGGGTTAGCCTGGTTGAGAATTCACCTACTCCTGTAGCAGGTGCATCCCAGAGCATGAGGTGTGCAGTTAATGTGACAGTTTTTCTAATAGTTTCACTTCATTTCAAGCCATTATCCTGAGGGTTTATGAAAACAATTCAGTAAAATCAGAATTTTCCTGTATCCAGGTCCCAGAGGCTTCAGCTGAGCCAAGGCATCAAATAGGAAGCCCATATTACCTTGGAGTCTTCTGCCTGCTAGGTCCTCATCTCCCTCTTTCCCCCAAACCTGGAGAATCATTTTCTAACTCTGGGATGGAGACAGTTTGCTTTCACTCACCCTAGTCCTTTTTTTCATGGTCCTTCCTCTTCTATTAAGAGCCTAAACTTTTGAAAGTCAAAAAGCAGGAGACTTTTTTTCTCTCTGTTCCTACATACTTTTCCCACAGCAAGGCATGCAGACCAGCCTGCTGACTGCATGAGGGAAACGGTGAAGGAGGGCTGGGGTGGAGTGTGTGTAGGGATGAAACAGTGCCAAAAAAATGATCAGTTAATATTTAAAAATGTATTTCACTATACTAACTTCAACCTTTTTCCATCTGATCAGGTTGTTCTTCCTCTTTTTCGCCTATTTTGCTCTACTTTCCCTTCAAGCTTTGGTTTAATTCCTTCCCTCCTCAATGTACTTGTTTATTTTCCTTTACTATAACCCTTATAATTTATATCACACATTTTGATGTTGAATGTCTTATAATTGCTGCAGGGCTGAAAGAAAAGTCATCTCGCCCAAACTCTTGTTCTAGGCTAGCATTTCTAAGGCACCGCCAAGTGTTTGTTTAACCCAGTCATTCTCAAAGTGATTCTCTGGACCAGCAGCATGAAGTGGGAACTTGTTAAAATGCAAATTCTCAAATCTCTCTCTAGATCTATTGAGTCAGAAACTCCGAGGTCGGGTCTAGAATCTGTGCTTTAACAAGCCATCCAGGGGATACTGATGCACACTATTTGAGAACCACTGATTTAACCTACATTAGCCAGTGGAAGGAGGAGTTAGCTAATAGTAGTGATCCCAATGTTTGAATGCCTATTGTCTGTGCTTGAGTACTTCTAAGTGACGGGGCACTCATAACCTCGGAGAGCAGCCCAGTCATCTTTGGAAAACATTGACCTATATTGGTCTGAAATCTATATTGGTCTGATATGTCTTATCAATAACTAATATTGTTTATATATAGCTTCCTAGAGCCATAGGGAAGAAGTCAAATCTCCCATCTCCACAACAGACTAAAATATCTCAATATTCCATCACTTGCCTCTCCCAGCTCTTCTCTTATCTAGGCTCAAAGTGGCATGAGTTTTGAGTTCCTCAAGCTGTCTTTTTGGCACACTGTTGAACACAATTCCATTTGTTTATAATTCTCTTTAATGAGCTCTGCGCAGAATTGAATCCTGTAGTTTAGGGTCTGAAGCTAGAGTGGAGTGGTTATCAATTACTTGCTTCCAATACTATACTCCTAGTACAATAGGCCAATATGGTCTAAGTTGTTTTGTTTTGTTTTATTTTTTGGTTTTTTGATGGCCACATTGTTAATTCATACAAAGCATATTGTCAGCTGAAATTTTTTGCTGTTCTCTACCCTCATCTTGGTCTGTTTTACAGATACCAATGCTATATTATATCTCCTCTATACTTTTATACTTGTAGGGGAAGTTCCTCGGATGCAAGTGTATAGTTATGTCTATTATATGTTTTCTGATTAGTTCTTTGATGATTAACTGACACAATTAACTTTTGGAGGAGATATGTATCTCCTATCCCTTGAAGTATGTCCCTGATGGCATAGTAGGTACTCAGTAAATACTTTAGAAATGTGTAATTAATGTACTAATAGAAATTTTCAATGCCAAAGAAGGTCACCTTTTTCTTGAATTTTATAAAAGGTATTCATTTGACACTAGGTTTATTGCTTCAGGACCTACAACTTATGACTACACATAAAGTAAAAACACCACTTGCTTTCAGTAGCAAACATCTAGAATTTATATATAGTGGTCTTTGAAGTGTCCTATTGGATGATTATATTATCAATCAGGCTGTAATCTGTCAACATAATTTTGTAGTTTTGTTTTTAGAATTGCTTCCAGAAGCTACTTTATGAACCACATAAGAAAAGTCATTTTATATTGAGTTTTTTAAAATTCAAGTTGGAGTTCTTCATATTGGTACCCACCTGAGCCTCTGGTATCATATTCCAAAACCTGTGTGTGTGTGTGTGTGTGTGTGTGTCTATATAAAGTTAGTATCTCACAGAAATTCCAATGAAGACTTTTCAAAAAGGTTTCCAACAAAGGCTGGGAGGTGCAACTAACACAAAATTAGACATATACCCTTGTGTGTTTTCCTCTTACGGTGACTTTGCCTCACATATTTATTGCATCAAATGTCTCCACCCTAACAGTAGAAACAAACAAACAAACAAACAAACAAAACAGTAGAAACAAACAAACAAACAAACAGTAGAAACAAACAAACAAACAAAAAACAAATTTGGCCTCATAAAACAGAATTGAAAGATTCGTGGATCAAAGTATCCAGGCTCCCTAAAATACTAGAAAATAAAAATATATTCAGTAAATATTATAAAATGTACTCAACTTGGTAAGACTAAGAACTCAATCATCAAGTGGAAAAGACATGAGCTTGCTTATCCCTTATATATAATGTGTGGGAAGAGAACTAATATTTATTTGGTTCCTGGAATATGCCAGTCATTTTATATTGAGTCCACATGAAGTAGAAGAACCAATTATACCATTTCATAGTAGAGAAAACTGAGGCTTTGAGAGGATAAGTTGCCCAAGGTCACAAATCAGATAAGTAGCAAAATAGGTACCTGGACCCAGATCTTTCAGGCTCTAAATTCTGTTCCCTTTCTACTACATTATATGAGAAATACCAAAACGAAAGATATAGTTTCTGTCCCCATAGAGCTCAGGGAACTTTATGTAAAAATATATAAAGATATGGATTTTTTTTCATTCTCTGTACAAATCAAAGAAAGCCAAGTTAAAATTAAATATTAATTGATTGAACAAAAATAATTTTTAAATGGCAATGTTGAATTTTTATGAATCGATTAAAATCAAAACTTTTTCTGTAATATGGTTATTGATTTTGAAAGAAATTTAGCAATATAGGTCAAGAACCATACAAATGTTTATACCCTTTTGTATATAGCCATTATCATTAATCTGTTTTTGGAACTTCAGCCTAAATTCTAAATTCAGAAAAATGGAGTAAATGTATTACTGTCTGAGTTGGAAAAAAATCCTCCTGTGTTTCTCCTTTACTCCCACATTATTACTACACTCACAACACTGCTGATACCAGATCTGTGGGTTTTCCACACATAAGTGATTCTGCATTATACCAGCGGCATGTCCTATGATTCAATTCAATTCTGACACTGTCTACCTAGAGTTAGTGTCAGATTCCATAAGTTAAGTGCTCAGCCCCACAAGACTGCCCCCACTTCAGATGCAAATCACAAGTCCCAGGTTGTCACCCAGGCTCCTGACCAACCCGCTACAAATCAGGGTTCTTATAACCTCCTCCTTAGGTTTGAAAATTTGCTAGAATGGCTCATGAAACTCAGAGAAACAGTTTCCTAGTTTATTGTAGAGGATATAATAAAGGGTAGGAGTGAAGAACCAGATGAAGAGATATATAGGACAAGGTTCAGAAAGGTCCCCAGGTGAGGAATTCTGTTCCCATGGAGTTGAGTTACATTACCTCCTGGCATGTTGATATGTTCACCAACCTAGAAGTTCTCTGAACCCCACACTTTTGGGATTTTTATGGAAGATTCATCATGTACGTGTGATGATCTTTAACTCAGTCTCCAGCCCCTCTCCTATTATTTGGAGAGGGTGTGGGGCTGTAAGTTCTGAGCTTTTAACCATGGCTTGGTCTTTCTGGTGACCAGCCACCATCTTGAAGCTATCCAGGAGACTACTAAGAGTTGTCTCAATAAAACAGAAGATACTCTTATCACCCAGGAAATTCCAAGGGATTTATGAGCTCTGTATCAAGAATGCAGCATCAAAGACCAGCTATTAAAACACCATGCTTCTTCTAGTGCTCTTGTCACTTAGACAATTACAAGGGTTTTTTTTTTTTAAACAATATTCAAGTTTATTAAACAAATTAAAAAAAAAGTATTATAAAATGTTTAACTGTCATCAGCTTCGAGGTTTATGTTGCTCCCGAATTTTGCATATAACTGAACTTTCAGATCCGCTAACACTCGCTGAATTGATTCCACTCTGGCTTCTAAGGCGTCAATTTCTTCTTGCAAATTTTTCTTTGCTTCTTCTAACATTTCCTGTGTTTCTTCTTGAGAATGGCTAATGAAAACATCACCAATTTGATAAGGTATCATTAAGCAATCATCATCTGCAAGCATGATGTCCTCACAAGCATCTTCTAAATTCTGGAGTTGTTTCTTTTTTACTTCTATTTCCTCCTTCAGCTCTGTAATTCTACTTGTATTCCGTGCAAATTTGTTTATCTTTTGTTGATCTTCAAAAGTAACGTTGACATCTTCTGCAGCCACCTTCTTCATGGTGGCCGCCATCTTGGGACTTGACAATTACAAGGGTTTTAAGAGCTCTGTGCCAGGACCTGGGGGCAGAGACCAATAAATGCATATTTTCTATTATTTTACACTAACAGTATTAAAAAACAGGAAATAATTAGAAACAACCTATATATCCAATTTATTACTTAAATGGTTAGGTAAAAATTTGATGGGTCTATTATGTAACCACTAACATAATAATTATAACACTATGTAGCATTAAAAAATGCTCATATTGTAATAAAGTCACATTTGAGTATATAACAAATCAATTACTTATGATTTATGTCGTAAGAAACAAAAATATAGTCTAATGATGATGTAAATATGAAATACTGATGTATTATGGTGATGGGATAGTTTTAAAAACTGCATTTTAAAAAATTTTTCTATTCATCTCTATTAATCTCATAATGAAGGGATAAATCTCCAAACTTTCCTAGTATTCTTTGCTGTTGCAAGACAAGTCACGCTCTTTGTTTTTCTAAACTTCCAATAAAACTAAGTTTTTGGAAACCAGTTTTATTTATGGGATAATTTTTAATCAAATATTTGTAGCTCAATCTTCAATAGTTGTCAGTAAGGGGAAAATGACACATTTGACATTTAAATATAATTGTCACAGCCTCTCCATTCATTGTGAATCTGTACAACTAAAATTTTGAAGCTTAAAATTATGGCTTCTAAGATTAGTGGTTGAAATTGGGATGCACGTTCAGTCTATAGATTTCCAAAGAAAGTACTTCCTTTCAATGACCCTGGGTGTAGACACAGGATTTAGAGAGCTTGGCTATTGAGATGCAAATTCTCTTTCTGGAGAAGGCTGTTGGGACTTTGTTACACATTTTTAAAAGAAGTATTTTGAAAGAGGAATGGTCCCTTAGCTCTGCTGGGACCTCAGCCTGGGACTTGGTGACTCTCTGGCTGTACATAATGAGGTGGGGGAGCTGAACCAGCATGGATGGCTGGACAGTAGCAAGGAGCTCACGTCAGATGTGGGCAGGCATGAACTCAAGGCCTGGAGAAGGGATAAGTGGGATGTGTGTTTGGTGGGTGGTGGATGGGTTGGAGAGGGTTGGGTGCTAGACAGGGGACAGGGTAGAGTTGGGAACAAAGGCAAAGCCAGGGCAAAGGACAGGGTAGAGTTGGGAACAAAGGCAAAATAAAAGACATGCTCACAGAACAAAAGGGTGCGCACAGACTTGAGCACTAAGCCTCATCAAAGAAAGCAAAGGCAAGAAACAGGAGCCAGGGATGAAGCTGGGCTGAAGGACAGGGGAAGACTGGTGCTGCAAATAGGAGCAAGGGAAGGGAGGTGCCCAGGTGGAATCGAAATTCTTTCCAAATCCAGCTGTCTCTTATTACTACTCACACTCTCCAGGTGCCTGGGTCCAGAGTTCCCCAAAGGAACTCAATAACTTCTGACTAAATGCCAGATGGCTTTCTGGATAAGGTATCTCAACCAACATCCTCCTTGAGGCACTACCACTGTTCCAGTGTCTGTAGCCTGGACTAAAAGTCCTCCTGAATTCTGGGAAGCTCCTTCTCTCAAGATCTATGGCCTACTTAGAAAAGCGGGATTCTTTCATAACTGCCCAGATAAGTGGTCCAGAGTTCAAGTAGTTTCAATGCTATACTTCGTAAAGCATTTCTCATTTCAAACAATCAGGGATAGATTCTCTGATCTTTACAAATGATTTTTAATCTCAGAGGATATATGTGTATACACACACATCTCGTTCCTCATGTAGATATTTATAATATGTATATATCCATATAAATATATAGATATGTATATTTATATAGACATATACACACATACATATTGCTTCTCTTGTTTTTGTTTGAAAAAAGTATTTTATTTTTTAAATACTTTTTTTGGAAATATATTTGACATATAACATCGTGCAAATTTAAGGTGTACATGTTATGATACATTTTTATATTGTAATATTGATTACTGTTGTAGTGATAGTTAACACCTCTATCATATCATATAATTATCTTTGTGTGTGTGTGTGTGTGTGTGTGTGTGTGTGGTGTAAGTAACTAAGATCTAGTCTCTTAGCAAGTTTGAATGATGTCTATATTCAGTGTACTGTGTATTAGCTCTCTAGAACTTATTTATCTCTTCTCCCACCCCCAGCTTCTGGCAACCACCATTCTACTCTCTGATTTTTAAGAGTTCAGCTTGTTTAGATTCCATATATAAGTGATATCATATAGTATTTATCTCTTTCTGTCTGATTTATGTCACTAAGCAGAATGTCCTCTGGATACATCCATGCTGTTGCAAATGGTAAGATTTCTTTCTGTGGATAGTATTCCATTACACCTAGATAGATAATAGATAGATAGAGGTATATAGAGATGTATATCTCCATTGCATCTCAATTAACATTTTTTGAAAAATGGGCATAAAGAACTGAACTATTAAGATTATGAGGAATAAATGAAATAACACTTGCAAAAATCCTTAGGATGTTATAGAAACATAAATAATATTATTATCATTTTGGTGGAGTTACCCAATGAGAAGAAATGTTGGAATACTTTACAAGATTAACTGCTATTTAGAAGTGTGTTTCTGGTTTTGGAGATAGTGGCTCTTCTCAGAAATGTGAATGTTTGTATAGTAACAACCATACCTGTTTATGTAGCAATATGGACATGCTTACATTGCAATCAACAAAAAGAATAACAATTGAATAGACGATAGAGGCAAATATTTATGATTTGTGTTCTAAGATACAGTATAAAGATGAAGGAAATGCATGAAATACAGATATATTATGGTGGTGGAATAGGATTCTATTTGGCTGAACTATGACCACCCCTCTTTATGCTCTTGGTATTCAGTGGTTGCTGGTTGGTGTATGTGGGGTGGGGAGAGTGAAAGCATATTTCTACAAGGTGCCAAGAAACTTTTAGGAATAAAAAGGTGAGATCTTCATTCTTCCCTTTTGAGGTTCAATTTTGTTAGAACATCTCTGACCTCATGGGTTAAGGGGATTCCAACCAAAGTAATTAGTCAGGGAAGGAGACCAGATTTCTCCCACCAAGGAAGGAAATCCCTGTGAGAAGGGGAAGGTTCTAGGCTTGTGGTACATGTTATATACAAGGACTAAATGGCGATAGGGGAGGGCTGGTTGCGAGTTGCTCATCTAACCCTCACAAAAACTCTATAATATAGAAACTGGTGTCACCTTATTTTTCCCACTACAAAATTTAGGCTTAAAAGAGGGTAAGCAGGGTGCCTGGGTGGCTCAGTTGGTTAAGCGACTGCCTTCGGCTCAGGTCATGATCCTGGAGTCCCAGGATCGAGTCCCGCATCGGGCTACCTGCTCAGCAGGGAGTCTGCTTCTCCCTCTCCTGCTCCCCCCTCTTGTGCTCTTTCTCTCTCTCACTCTCTCTCTCAAATAAATAAAATCTTTAAAAAAAAAAAAAAGAGGGTAAGCAATTTGCTGCAAGTACGAGTGCTAGGAGGTGACTCAGAGTTGGGGCTGGAACCCCATCTGTCTCGAGGGTCCTCGCATCTCACTGCTGCACTCTCCCTGCTACTGGGATCTTTACATGGCTTTTCTCCTCCTTGGCTGGCAAAATAAAGAGATGCAAGTCAGGGTTAAGGATTAGGACAAATACTTCAGTGAGGAAGGTACTGGTAATTACAGAAAGGGAAGCTAAAAGGGCTTTGAGGTTTCCTGGCCGCCTGCAGGAGGGTGATGATTATCTGATGTAATCCACATTCTTCCCTGACTTTTGGAAATAAAAACCAAGAATTTTCAAGATGATTGCCTAAGATTAAAGGTCATTTTGTGGCCACATAGAGATGTGTTTTTTTTTTTTTTATGCAAACTTGGTCTTTCTGAACCTTAATGATCTCATCTATAAAATAAGAGGGTTGCACTAAGTCATTGTTAAGGTTCTTTTCATGCTGTAATGTTTGTGAGTCCAGGAATTTATAAGCTTTTTCTCGTATTTAACCTTTGCCCTTAGTGTCTTCAGCACTATGATCAAAACTAATGGACTCAATTTAAAGTTTATGTGACAGGTAAGGAAACCAGGATAAAGGACTTAAGGAAGGTTATGAAGCAGGGAATATGGCAGCAAAAGGTTTTATAACTATGAATTAAATGGAGTTGAAAGGATAGAATTCAGGATCTCAGAAACCAGTGGGTAAAGCAAAAAAGACTGAAGTTCAGACAAGTCTTTCAGAGGATTGATTACATGGAGAAATGGTTAAGATTTGGTCATGCCCTGATGTTAGCAGGCTCTAATTAGATTGGCCAGTTTGAGTTAGAAGAATGGATGAGCCATCACATGGGTATGTTGGCTGTCTGGTTCCCCATCACACGGCCCCAGCTCCATCTCTCTGGAGCTGGTATAGTTCTGACACCATCACCAACAGTTCTACTCCCAACTGTACAAAGCTTTCTTAGTCTTCATTCAGGTGAACCAGAGAATGGATATTAATTAAGTAAAAGAAGAGTTAAAAAAAAAAACAAACACAAAAACTTAGAGGGAAGCAAACTTTACAGAATATAAATTTCTGATTCTTCTTTGAGAGAGTAACCACCTTCTTGTCCTCTTCTTCCTTCCTTCTTTCTTCTCATTTTCCTCTCTCTGGTTCATTTCCCTCCCTCTTCATTCTTTCCTTCCATCCCCCCCCCCACCCCCCTGCACTTCCTGAATACCATGTTTCATAGTCTGTGCTGGGCACTTTGACCAACACAAGATAAAGGAAATGCAGTTCCAGCTTCTCAGGTTGCTCTCTCAAGCAACAAGGAAGACAGACACAGATAAGGCACTGTGGTAAACCAAACTTAAACGAATCCACCTCCAGGTTTCTTTCCCTCACCTCCAGCCCTGTCCTGCTGCCCCACCTCACCTCACGTCAGTTGGTCAGCTGGTGTTCTCTCCCCCTCCTCCCCGCCTCCTGTCTGCTCTCAGGATTAGCTGCCTGATGGCTAACAGATTTCCCCTCAATTGCCGGGGTTGTGGGGG